TCATGGACTAAGGGACCAATCCTTTTTTTGTTGTTGTATAGATGGCCATGTCCCCAAAGGTTTATGGTCAGTCTGTAAAAAGGTCTCCTATTTAATAAATAATAAAATTTCCCAATCCCAGCTGGGTTAAATTAAATACTCCTTTGAATTAAAGACTTCTTTAAATCTGTTATGAAATTTGAAATCCTTTTGTTTTAACATTGATTTCTTTCTCAAATAAAGACCACTTGTTCATTAAGGGCAGTTTCTCCTCATTTAGCAAGCCATCTCTTGTAGACAAATGCTGTAGCTTACAGAATAATAAAACTACTATTACAGTGTCTGCAACATATTCATAACAAGAATTTGTAACAGAGTTACCAATGTCCCCCGCCCCGGGAGTTTTATATGAAGCATAAAATTGTGCTATTTCAAAAAATTGAGGTATGGATCTCAGGACATTCAGTCCAAAATTATGATCAATGCTAGATCTGCAAATGTAACAATAAATTTGTTAAAAAAATAAAATGAAACACGGAATTTAAAAATCTATCATGTTAAGCTTTGACCTCTAAGTGTGACCTTGACCTTGGAGGTAGGGGAGCAGGTGTTGTGCATGACATAACGTCTTATTATTGAGACTATTTGTGCCAAGTATTTTCAAAATCCCTTGAACTATGAAGAAGTTATAGATTGGACACAAAATATACCCTATAACAGACTACGTAAATCTTTGACCTCTTAGTGTGACCTTGACCTTGGAGGTAGGGACACAGATGGTACGCATGACATATCATCTAATCATTGTGACTATTTGTGCCAAGTACTTTCAAAATCCCTTAATCTATGAAGAAGTAATGGATGGGACAAAAAATATACCAAATAACAGACTCTCTTAACCTTTGACCTCTAAGTGTGACCTTGACCTTAAGAGGTAGGGGTGCAGGTGTTGTACCTGACATATCGGCTTATTATTGTGACTATTTATGCCAAGTTATTCCAAAATCCCTTGAACTATGAAGAAGTTCTAGATTCGACACAAAATATACCCTATAACAGACTATGTTAATTTTTGACCTCTAAGTGTGACCTTGACCTTGGAGGTAGGGATGCAGGTGTTGAGCATGACACATCCTCTTATTATAGTGACTATTTGTGCGAAGTATTTTCAAAATCCTTTGATCTATGAAAAAGTTATAGACCTGACACAAAATATACCCTGTAACAGACTATGTAAGTATTTGACCTCCAAGTGTGACCTTGACTTTGGAGGTAGGTGACCGGTTTTTGCGCATGACACATCATCTGATTATTGTGAACAATTATGGCAAGTATTTACAAAAGTCCTTCATAGATAAGAAAGTTATGGACCGGACACGACATATACCCTCAAATAGACAATGTTAACCTTGAATGAGCAAGTACGACCTTGACCCTGAAGGTACGGGTCTGGTTGTTGCGCATGACACATCGTCTTATTATAACAAACATTTGTGCCAAGTAATTTCAAATTCCTTTGATAAATGACAAAGTTATGGACCGGACACGAAATATACCCTGTAACAGACTATGTTAATATTTGACCTCCAAGTGTGACCTTGACCTTGAAGGTAGGTGACTGGTTTTTGCGCATGACACATCGTCTGATTATTGTGAACAATTATGGCAAGTATTTACAAAATCCCTTCATAGATAAGAAAGTTATGGACCGGACACGACATATACCCTCAAATAGGCAATGTTGACCTTGAATGAGCAAGTGTGACCTTGACCCTGGAGGTAGGGGTCTGGTTGTTGCACATGACACATCGTCTTATTATAATAAACATTTGTGCCAAGTAATTTCAAATTCCTTTGATAAATGACAAAGTTATGGACCGGACACGAAATATACCCTGTAACAGACTATGTTAATATTTGACCTCCAAGTGTGACCTTGACCTTGAAGGTAGGTGACTGGTTTTTGCGCATGACACATCGTCTGATTATTGTGAACAATTATGGCAAGTATTTACAAAATCCCTTCATAGATAAGAAAGTTATGGACCGGACACGACATATACCCTCAAATAGGCAATGTTGACCTTGAATGAGCAAGTGTGACCTTGACCCTGGAGGTAGGGGTCTGGTTGTTGCGCATGACACATCGTCTTATTATAATAAACATTTGTGCCAAGTTATTTCAAATTCCTTTCATAAATGACAAAGTTATGGACCGGACACGAAAGTGTGACGGACGGACGGACGGACAGACGGACGGAGCCTATTTCTATATCCCCCTTTTTTCTTCGAAAAGGCGGGGGACAATAAAGGAAAACATTGGCAACACCTGCACACCTACCAAATTTACTTTGGATGTTTTTAACGTCAAAATGTAACAATAATATTTTTCAATCTTTCATTTATCCACAATTTATGCAAGGTCACTCTTGAGTGTCTACATTCAAAGATTGATTTTAGATAATAATGACTGTTAAAATTATTGATATTATTAAAATATTTGATAATGTGGAACGAGGGCACTGATATGAGGTATTAAATTACCTCGCTAATCATCATACTGTAATAGAGGTAGACATATCTAGTTACCTATTAAATTACAGTCGTTTTGTAGTTCCTAATTGCTCTGTTGTGACTGAAGGACTTGTAAAATATTTGTGAAATATTTTGAAATAATTACTTTTTTACTATTTTGTAAGCTGTATCATTTTATCTCTGTTTTACAGCCATGGGAAAAAATCATATATTTGTATGTTTGTGATAAGATAAATGAAATGATTTTATGTATGATAACTCATAATTGGGTACCAGCTTAAATTACTTTGCTGGGGGTAAATGTATTTATTATAATAGATACGATTCATCAGAACAAACATGAATAAAAATTACCCTGAAACATCAAACAAAAAACAAAACAAATTTTGATCAATACCGTACTCTTTCAAATACCAAAATACATGCATTGACCCTGAACATGCTGAATATCTTAAATGGACTTGTCCCACTTCCATTTTTGGGACTGTCCATTATCAATTTTTAGGGATATCAATATGAATATTTAAAATTTGTCAGCCAACAATATAGAGCCTGGTCAGACTGCACGGATGTGCAGACTGGCCTGGCTCTATACTGGTGGCAAAGACTTAATGCTTTCGGGTCCAGCACTTAAAGGGTTAAATAGATAACTTGGATTAAACCAAACCTACATGTTTATGGGGATATTTAGAGGCAAAAATATGTGTAAATTTTTAGGTAATATTGGTTGATTACAAAATAATCATTTAAGAAAATAATAAAATAATTAATACAAATCTAAAGCATGTCTTAAATATCAAACTATAAAATAAACCATAAAATTTCAATCAAAATAAAACAAGTCTTGGAAATCAACCTAGAACAACTCATCAGGAGATCTGACAGTAGAAGAAATGAAAAAGTAAAACCTGAACAATTTCACCTGAAACAAATTAAACACAATTTAGATATTGAAATAAAAATCTAAATAAAACTTCATAAATAAGAGAAGAAATAGGACAAGGGCGCATGATGATAAGACCTTATCTTAGTGACATCTTGTCTAATACAGAACCATCTCTGTATAACAAAACCCTTTAGGAGATGAAGATATTGCTATTTTCTGAGAGATGAAGATCTCATTATTGGTTAGGTCTTACTTTGGGTACAACTGCTAACCTGTTTTTGTAAAGGGATTATTGCTCTACCAAAGGCCAGCAACTCTTCAAAGGTTGCAGTGTAAATGTCTACATGAGCATTAAATTTTATTAATAACAAAATAAAATTCAGAACTATGGCAACCTGAAAACCTCAATTGTACCTGAAAATATGGCAAGCTGGAATAAAATAAAAAGGCTGTATTAATTTTCTGCATTTTCACTATTATCTTTTAAACATCAACTTGAGAATTTAAATGGCAATGGCAACTACTGGAAACAGCAAATTGCAAAATCGACAAGACATATAACAACTTAATATATATATATATATATATATATATATATATATATATATATATATATATATATATATATATATATATATATATATATATATATATATATATATATATATATATATATATATATATATATATATAATAATTAATGGCAACATGGCAACTTTAATAGGATTAATATGAAATAGACATTGTGATGGGGGTGTAAAGTAGTAACTTGTACAAAATGTCATTGGTAACATAAAATGACAAGATGATATCAATATTGACAATTCATCATGCTTTCAACTTAGCAAGTTTTACCCTATTTGTCATAGAATACAATGATATCCGATGATGATGATGATGATGATGGATTGAGGCAGCTAATGATAAATGAGTTTAAAATATGTTAAACAAGCCAAATACAGCCTTAATCATTCTTTGTCCTGCAGGATTACAATATTTCCAATTTAATTACTAAATAAATCTGCAGTTATTAATTAATCAGTGTAATGCTACATTTGACCAATTTATTTTTTTGTAAATAAGTTACAAGGGAAACAACTTAAGATTTATCAAAGATTTATCTTTAAAGAGTTAACTCCCATGTTACAAATAAAACACTATGCTTGGTTTCAGTAGGGTTCAGCAGGGTCTTTTAAATAGAATGGTCTGGAGATGCGCAATGTAAACTCTTTCCCCTCTGATAAATTATGCCTCATATCAATTTTTTACCTGAGCGTGATTATCATATGTGTATAAATATCACCGCTCTATTTCTATTTGAAAGACCCTAGGTAAGGTTAATAGTGGTGCTTCATTTCAATGTTCATTCTTTATATTTTTTTTTTTACAAAGTAGAGGCAGAGTAGGGACTTTCCACGACTGTAACCACTTACCAGAGATGCGTATGAAGACATGTGGACATGATACCCCTTGCAATAATATGTTTTTGACATGGAGGGACCGGAACTAGAACAATCACACATTTAGAGTGTTATTTCTACATGCCAAGCAAGGTTATATATCAGTACGCAGGTGATAAATTGACATAAATCTCACTTACTTCTATGGTATCTGAGTGAATTGACATTTCTGATGAATTGCCGCGGTAATACTGGTTCCCAGCTTGATTATGTCGCATTCCAAAGGTATTTACCCCGGCTCCACCACCATAACTGATACTGCAAGAAAATAAATGGGAAATGATTGTGTTACTGAACAATTCATATGTTCATTATAGCAAAAATTTCACAAAGGCATTGTTACAAGAAAAATAGATTAAACAATTAAAAATTATTAGTCTGACAGCATACATGTATATGACCAAGGCCATACAGAAATCTGTATGGTTTAAGAAAGAAATCATCAACAAACTGCAAATATGCTTGGCAACAAAAAACGACGAAATATTATATTATTTAATAAAGTTACAAACTTGAAATAAGCATGAAGAAGACTATCAGCAACATCTGACTCTTGCATCTTTTTCCTCTGAATTCTGTCAAATTCTCTGAGTGTCGATACTGGCAAACGACCCATGAATATTTCACGTCGGATATGATTCCGCTGTTGACTGATTTTGAATGAGCGATACATGGCCTCATACTCATTATGCTGCAAGGAAACATGGTGTTTATCAGTATAAATCAGTGTGAGCAAAGGCCATCCAAAGGAGAGACCATACAATTGGCCTCAATCAGACTAAAATTCAGTTATTTCTTGCATGTAGATCTGATTGCCATCTTATTTGTTTCGCCTTCATTGTGATTTGGATTTCGCAAGAAAGCTATTTACAGGTGGGCATTTGACGAAGTATCAAAATGTTGCTCTTTGAGGAAAGAAAAAACAAATTATTGATTATTGTTAGGAAAAAAAATGTTTGAAGTAATTTGAAACAAATAAACTGGAAATTATAGACACAATATTGATTGTTTTGCCATTTTAGCTGCCGGCTATATGGACAACACCAGGTTTGTTCTTGAAATTGTGAATTATTACCTACTCAGTACATTTTTATATATTGGTTTTCCAGCAATAAGATTTAGAAACTGCAATTGCTTTCAAACTCGTGAAAGCTTATCAATGATTGGCTGTTTAAAAGGTCACGATAAGATGACCTTCAGACCCAAATGTGTAGCAGTAATTATTGATTTTAATCAGATTGAACGTGGCCTTTATTGACAAATGGTCTTTATTCACAGTTTACTCTGCTGTATTTTTATAAATGAAGGCTTGTCAAAGAGTTGCCTTAATTTACAGGATGATCTTTATTCATGTGGTCTTTAACACATGTTTGACTGTATCTGTATTTTACTCAGATAATAGTTAACAGTTATTAAAAAGTATCCTGCTCTTTGACTTTGAGTCCGCTCACTTGGCTCACCAGGGTGATCATCGGATTTGTATAAATCCAGGGTAACGCTGGTTAGATCTGGCTCCGCGAAACAAAATTACTCAGTGACAACGGACCAAGAACATCTTGTCCAATGGTCATTTGTATCTCACCACTGATTCAGATATCATGTAGGATTACTAGCTGGTAACATGTGGCGAAATTGGTTATAACTGGAAGTTCATTTTAAGGTAGATTGACTGTCAACATATGAGTTAAAAATGTGATAAAATGGTTCAGAAACAAGAAAAACAAAAAAAGAAGAAAGATTTAAAAAAAGGAAAGCATACCTGCAGTTTAAGGGCTGCTGATAAAATGTCAAAGGCCTCTCGTAGTTTAGCACAAGCTTGTTGTCCATTAAAAAGAACTGAATTTTTACTTTGCTTTGCTTGTTCATCTTTGAAGTCTTTTGCATCCTTTTGCTTCTTTGCAGCAACTTGGGAGTTAAAATACTTTGGCGTCTGCATAGTTTTTCCCTACAGAAAAGATATTTATTATTATTTTCCATCCACGTATTTTACCATGGTACACATTCCATATATACTACATTTAATACGGTAAAAAGCCTGGGTTACCAAGGAGGTTGTTTTCATGCTTCACTTAACAACTGAACAACAAGTGTGTTATTTATAATGCACAGAATAAGAAAAGATATGTTTTGATGCTGTATGATATCAATAAACCAATTGACTTACATGGTAATGAAAGTGACTTTTCCATGCAATAACATACTACAACTGGAATGTTCAAAAAGTTTGTAGAGTCTTGCTGTCCTTTTTTTTAATTGTTTCATAAAAACAAATTTGATTCATATGAAACAAAAGGGTGTCTTTATTTCTTACATAGGAAGTTTTGCCTTTATTATTAACTTTTATTCTCTTCCCAAGCTATGAGCATTTAAATAACCATGGTAATGAAACATCGCCACACAATTAAAAGATGTGAACAGTTGAGACGCAGTACACACCCTTTTTTAACACACCTCATAGTTCAGCATACATTTTGTATTTTTTACTATTTGTGTTCTTTTCGCATGTTAAATTGCACTATTAAGAATATAATTATATTTTTTGTGCTTGAAAAAACAAACAATGTGTAGATGATCTAAAAAGCCTTTATCGCGTCACAACAAAACCAACATAATGCGTTTGCGACCTGCATGAATCAAGACCAGCCTGCGCATCCGCGCAGTCTGATCAGGATCCATGCTGTTCGCTATCAGTTTCACTACTTGTAATAAGGTTTGCAAGCGCACAGCATGGATCCTGATCAGACTGCGCAGATGCGCAGGCTGGTCTGGATCTATGCTGGTGGCAAACGTACTATGTTGGTTTTGTCGTGACCCGGCTTATATATCTACCTCATCCTCCTTCTCCAGATACAGCATTTTACCAATGTCTGATACAAAATCTGTTATCTCTGCTGTCAACAAGTTCAACTGAAACATCCATTATCATGCAAGAATATTTATCATTACATGAATAAGAAAGCATTATTAGTTATATATGCATTTTAAAGGGATACTAAGGCAAAATTATGAATGACAAAAATACAAAAATGATCTTATGTACTCAAATCACGCTCATTATGACATTTTTTAGAGTCCCAGCATAAATTTCTGTTTAAATTTTATATATTTTGGGTTTGAAGGGTAAATATATCTATATACATGTACATGTATATTGAACGAAATTTAGACGCCAACAGAATCACCGAGTAGTTTTAAAACAAGTCATGTGACTTGAACTAACCATGGAAGTTACATTAACAAATAATTTGGATATTGTATGATTAAACAAGTCTAAGTCATTCATTTGGCATGATCTTAAACGTTTCAACAGTTTACTGTCACAACTATTATGAAATCTTAACGCTCTAACCTGACCCTGGTGATGTGGGTCAAGTTAGGAAAAAAGCATTTTATTCTTTTTAAGGAGAAAAATTTTGTTCCTGTGACTGTCTAGAATGTCTACATTCATTTTAAGAACATTTACAGAATAATGAATGAAAAATTAAAAACTAAGAAATGAAAATTTTGCCTGTGTTTTCCCTTTAAAGGGTATGAACTAGAGTTACATATATTATTAATATTATAGCAGAAAATCAAAGGTAGGTAGCTTTAAAGGTGGTCCGTACCCATAAAAGTTTTTGATGTCTATTCATGTTCATGCTAAGTTATAAGAATTCTATAATGTAGTTTTCAATTGCTAGTTAAAGTGACCTAATGGCAACTTTGGCTTTCAACTTATACTTGCAATCACTCACCACACCCATAATTATATTTTTCTTGTTTCTTATGGCTACTATAATTACACATATGTGTGTGTTTTTTGTGGCTACTAAAATTAGACATGTTTTCATTGTGGCTACTAAAATTACTTGTATTTCTTGTGGTTACTTAAATTACATGTAAGTTTTTTTTTTCTGGTGGCCACTTTAATTACACATACCTGTATGTTTCTTCTATTGGGTTACTTAAATTACACATAATTATGTTCCCAAATTCTAAACCCTTCATTTTGTAAAATCAATGCTTACCTGACAAGAATGGAATATAAATAAGAATAACTATTAAAGCAGCCTTCAGTTGTTTTTTTCTGTTGCAAAAACAATTGATAAATTTTTTGATCACTTTTGATGAAATTTTCATAATTTTTATGAAATAGTGATATCACAAACATTTACATGTACCTTTCCTTGAAGATCTCCAGATTTGTATAGTTGAAGCTCTCTTGCCTGCCGCTGATTAAGATTTGGAAACCACTCAGCAATCTTGTCATATATTTGATCAGACACAGGGAATGCCTCTGACTCGGCAGACTGGGTTCTTGTATGTGACTGGTTTACAAATATAATTCTATGTTTAAAAAATTTATATTCATTCCTTATGTTTTCTAACAGAATTGACTAGCATTCAAAAGTCAAATATGTTTCAGTTTAATGCCAGCACATTTCATAAATTGCAACAAAATACAATGTTGGTGGCTGAATATCAAAATTCCAAACAAAGATTGGAATAAGATAACTAACTAGAGATGGATTATCAATGTGTGAAGGTTATCTCTTCAGTCAGAATAAAAAATTGTTTAAAACTGCACAATTGAGAATGTTAGCCAGAGCCTATATAACGGTGGAAAAAACAGGTGCCTCCGTTTTACCAACATTGTTTGCAGTGAATAAGTTAAACCTTCAAAAATTCTCTCTTTCTGTAATCTGGAAGAACAGTACCTGATATGTTGAAGGGCATATTTTCAGGCAATTTTGCTGCATGTGCAGTGAGTGACAATACCCATGATGTAAAATATTACATACATTAATGTTTCAAAGAAATCAAATTAAAGTAGCATATTGTTAAGTGCAGGAAAAGGCAGGTAATATTTTAAAAACATGTACATATTTTGTAAAGGGGGATTTTTGAAGAAAGAAAAAAATAGATGATAAATATATACTTTTATGAGAGGGAAAGGGTACCAAAATTTGCTGTGTCCTATTTTCCAGTTAAAATCATTTATTTCTAATGAAAGAAACAAATATAAGCATACCTTTTCCAAATATCTAGCTCGGATTTCTTTCTTCGGTTTAGGTTTAGGTACTGCAGATGTATCTTTCTGTTGAGTGGAGACCATCTCTTGATGTTCATCTGAAGTTTTCTGGGCTACAGGAGCCTGTGTTTCTGACTGCTTGTAAAGTCATGCAATAACACAAAGTAAAATGAACATAAAGTTTTACTATGTCAAAGGGTACAAAGTCAATTAATTATTCACAGTGTTTATTACCGGTATATCATACTGCATTAAAGTATAATTTGAACGCGTGAAGGAAGTAGTCAGTCAATATTATAGTAGCCATAGTTAGTAAGTTTTCAAGCTGTTTCACTATTTCATTTACAAAAATAAGCACATAATAAATTAACCTATTTTCTTCATAAAACAATTAATGAACAACTCAAAATACAAAATTCCTACCCTTAAAGAATAGATTACTCTAATTGGCATTTGGAGATTTGCTTTAATTAAACACTGTCATGTAAGTGTGTAACAAAAATAATTTATAGGTTGATCAGTAAGAGGTCTTAAGACATAGATTACATTAATGAAGTCTTTAAAGATATAGATTATAAGTCTTTTAAGACATAGATTATGAGTCTTTTAAGACAGAGATTATAAGTCTTTTAAGACATAGATTATAAGTCTTTTAAGACATAGATTATAAATCTTTTAAGACATAGATTATAAGTCTTTTAACAAAGGTTTATAAGGATTTCATAAACAAAGGTTTTTTTTAACAGATTTCCTAAAACTGAAAAAGCTTGTCAGAAGAAATCCTTAAACAAGTTTATCAATGAGAGATCTTAAGACATGAGTTTAACAGTAACATTTTATAAAAATTGTTTTAGAAGTAGTCTTTAATTTAAACAAAGGTTTAAAGATCCTGTTTGTTTTAATCAAGGTTGTTACCATATCTAAGTGAAATTTTATATATGTACCGGTATATAATTATCACAGAGGGGGAATCACATGACCATGTATAGTAATACCCACCAGAAAAAGGCGACTGCTGAGCCCCGGTTAGTTCCTTATTATGTTAAATTAAGGTGTCAAATGTTTCTTAAATCAAAACAAAACCTAGCGTATCATATGCACGGAAATTTTCTTCAAATGGCATTACAAAGTACATTGTCCTAAGTTTTGTGGTTTTTGAGAACATTGTTTGAATTGTCTGAAAAAAGCACATGCAGCGATAGAATATTATGAAATAGTATGACTCATTATTAAAATACTTTCTCGACATTTGTTTCTCTGTCACGGTAGACGGAACACACTTGCAAATTAGTAACCAAAAGAATTATAAAATAGTTTCGTCACATTTTAGAAAGCTATTGGAAACTGTGCGTGAAACTTACTATTTTGTTTTTGTGCTACTTAATTCCAGAAATTGTTCGTTTTACTTACTAAACACTTGCAAAGAACATTTGTAGGCTACAGACCTTCGAACAAAATTTTATATGGACTTCTACGATAAACAATGTCAATAAAATGATTGATTTTGTGTCTTTTTGTGTCTTAAGTGCAAAAAGAAAGCTTTATTTTCATTTATTTTGGTACCAAATTATACCGCTTCATGTGAATTACTATCGCTGCATGTGCATTTTTCACACAATTCAAACAATGTTGTCAAAAACCACAAAACGTAGGAAAATGCACTTTGTATTGTCATTTGAAGAAAATTTCTGCACATATGATACGCTAGGTTTTGTTTTGATTTAAGAAACATTTAACACCTTAATTTAACATAATAAGGAACTTACCGGTCTTGTAATGACTTATTTTCCTACAGAAAGATGAAATATTATATTACCTTTTGTACAGATGTTGGTGAAGGTGGTTCCCTGTCCATTCTAAGGTCAGATATCTCTCTGAATGCCTCACTCAGTTTTAACTCCGTGTCAGCAAGGCACTTCTTGAAATATTTACATTTCTCTTGCCATTTTGTTACCACCTTTTTTAAAGATTCAATCTCTTCCTGGGAAACAAGGAAAAAAACATGATATATAAATTGTTTTTTTGTTGTTTTTTGTAACTGAAGACTGTTAGTATTTATTGTTTTATTTTTATTGCAATTATTTTGTTTTTCACACACAGACATCGATCAATACCTTCAAAACTGTCAGATAATAATTTTAAAGCGGCATCATATCAGCCGGCCTATAGTTTCATGCTAATTTTCATGATAATTAAAAATGTGTTTAAAACTAAAGTGTTGTAAAGTGAACAAAGAAAGTAATTTATTCATTGCAAATGGTGCTTACTATCCAAGTATATTACCAAATAGAGGTCAAAAAATGAAAAAAATTGGCCCTTACTGCTTTAGTTACAACACAGTAGAAGTATGATTATTAATACTGCAAAATCAGTTACTAATTGCAGTCACTAATTGAACATAACATGTAAATTATTATTTGAATCTTGAATCTTTTTACTTTCTTATCTTAGTGAATTTTGATCAAGTTTGATTTTCTTGAAATAGAATGTGGCTCATCTGAAGGCATGTTAACCTTGATGATATTGGTATAAGGATGAAAAACAAGGTTGAAGCAAATCAATCTGCCTGTATATATAAGCCCCTTCAATACTGAGATCATGAGATAATTTTTAATTTTTCCTTCATACATTCTTATTTGTAACTGATTTTGTAACCAAATAAAAAACATATCAACAATAAAATTTTTAATTCAATGTATACCTGTTTATTAAGCAGTTACATACGTGCATTTAATAAATTAGTTCAATGGACTGAATAATCGACTTTAACCTTCATTTAAATAGGTTATTTACAGGTAGATTGTAAATAGTTCCCATAAACAGAAATTTAATTTACAAAGTGACCTCCCTTTAAAGCAAGTTGATTTAACCCTTATTAATATATTTAATATGAAACTTACAAGCAATAAATGTCACTGGACTATTCATTCTAAAAATTCTTACATCTTAGATGCTGAAAGAATTCACTTTTGGTATCAAAGTTTAAAAATTTGTGGATTTATCAATTACATGTGGTATCGCCATATTTACATTTAAACTCGAACAGACCAGTTGTTATCATCAAACTTGGTTACCTTTGATACTAGGAAGTATAATTGAATTACACCGGAGAGAAGGAAGACATATTGGATTTTTATTTTAAATTTTCTTATTCATAAAATTCAACGTCAAAATAATGTCTTTAAGACCATTAAGTTAAACTTGGGAAATAATTCAAGGTATGTTACTATAAATTTTAGGCTGTGCAAGTTTAACTTAGATCTCTTTATTTTGTTTTCTATTTTCACAAAGGTCAAATAAGTCAAATACATTCTTAAATATTATTGTTAATTTGTAGTATCTATTAAACTGTTGGACAACACAATTATCACTTTTATATGTATGACACCAACATATGCCTCAAGAACGAATAAATTTCTCAATAAAAGTTTTAAAACAACAACAACAACAAAAAACCCACAAAAAATAACAAGTCAAACATGAAGGTATTTTTTTAAACAATATAAATATTTTCAATCAAATTACTAAAATAATAATGAAGAAGAAAATGCATTTGACTTTGTACCAGATGATACATGTATATTTTTACAACAAAACTTTCAAAGATGAGATTGTACCAAAATGTCAAGAATATAACAACTACCTAAAACTCAAGGAAATTACAAGATATTGATGAGTAATGGAGAAAAATAGACATTTGCCCATATGATTCAACATGCATTTTATTATTTCTGCATCATGCCAACAAATTATTCAAGGAAGAAACATTAAAACAAAGCTTAATTTAAACACTTGAGAGTTCGGACATGTGATTTGATACTAACATATTATAGTAAACATGTCATCATGTTAGGTCCATTATTGTATTTATCTTATATTTCAGGGAAGTCATGGCTGTCCCAGGTAAAAAAGCCACCAAACATTTTTCATCTTCAACAATCTCTATTGGTTCTGATGAAGATCTTCAAGTTTATTGTCAGCCATGTGATCAGGATGGATCTAGACTTCCAGCTTATGGTTATTGTACAAACTGCTCGGAACATTTGTGCAAAACATGTTATACACTTCACAGAAAACATAAATTGTCAAGAGATCATACTCTACTAGACAAAACCAGCATGCCTCAGACCATGTCACCTGTTACTCCAACACAGTCAGATAACTTCACCAAACCATGTCCTAAACACAACATGGAGATGATCAAGTTTTACTGCCATGATCACAAGGCTCTCCTCTGTAGTGTTTGTGTTACACTGGAGCATACAGCAACATCTTGTCAAGTCAATTATATACCTGATATTTCAGGCCAGGTTATCAACAGCACAGAATATCAAGATATATTGAAGAAAATTGATGACATGACTGAGAAATCTAGCAAAACACTTCAAGACATGAAGAAAATGAATGATAAATCAAACAAGTCTTTGACAGATGCATTGTCTGAACTAAAGACATTCCGATCTAAAATGAACCAAAGACTAGATGAAATGGAAAGACAAGTCGAGGAGGCTGCAAAAGTCATTCAAAAAGACAATAACAAAAATTTGATGAAAGTAGAAACAGAATGTGGAGATGTTTCGAAATCCCTGAAGTCATCCTCTGATGCCATTAAACATTTCAATGCATCTAAGAAAGGAAATGATTTGTTCATAGAACTAAAACACATGGAACAGATAATAAAAGATTACAAGCAAAGTATTGCTAAGCTCACAGAATATAAAGTCAAAGAATACAATTTTGAACCAAATGAGGCAATATCAAATCTCCTTGATAAAGATGAGTCAATGGGAACATTGAAAGAAAGAACATTAAATCCTGATTTGAAGTCCAGACAATGTTCACACATGGATAAAATCTGTATCAAAACATCACAAGATAATCATGAATGCACAATAACAGGAATGACTCTCCTTTCTCCTGATCTTCTTATCATCACAGATAGTGGTAACAGTGCTGTAAAAATGGTTGATATGAGCAAAATGTCTGTACTGGCTCAACAATGCTTTGATAGTACACCATGGGAAGTCACATCAGTTTCACAAAATGAACTTGCTGTCACTCTTCCTTGCAATCAAACTATTCAGTTCTTATCTGTTTCCAGCAATAACCTCAAGAAGAAACATACTCTGAAGGTTGATGGTACCTGTCATGGTATTAGCTGTCATAAAGATAAAATGGTGGTGTCATTTTTGAGTCCAGCTAAAGTTCAAATCCTTCTTATCAATGGGACTGTTTTACAGACAATTCAAGATGACAATATTTTTATAAATCCATTCTATATTACAACAAGTGACAATTGTATCTACGTATCTGATTCTGGAATGAAAACAATTACCAAGCTAAACTGGCAGTGTGAGGTGAAAGGTAAATATGTCTGTAAAGATAAGCCTTATGGCTTGACAATGTCAGATGATGGGACAGTGTTTGTTTGTTACTATGACAACAATACCATAGAAGAGATATCAGGGGACTGCACTAAAGGACAGGTTGTTGTTAAGGATGTGCCAGGTCCTCAAACTGTTGTCTGGTCTGCTGAAACATGTACATTGTTCACAAGCAGCTATACAGAACAGAACTTTATCAAAATCTTCAAATTGTCTAAATAAGGACAGAAAATCAGCCTACATAAATTATAATGAATAGTTATATAAATATCACTGACATTATTGTACACTGTAAACTGATGAGCTTAATGTTTACTTTTCATAATTTTAGACACTTATTTTAACGTGGTTATTGTAATAATCTAAGACTAAATAACATTACAAAATACATCTGGTTTAAAAATAAATGATGATTTAACTGTAATCAGAAAATGTTTTACAAATCACAATATTTTAAACAGAAATATGTTTCTTAAAAACATGTAACATTTAATACTGATATCATTGTATAAATTTCATTAAATAGTGTAGATAGAATGTATTATTTTATAATAAAATCTGTACAGTTCTGCTATTAAAAAGATACACTATTATGGATAAGTGTTATATTTAATACCACTGTAAACATGAAACGGTACCTAACTAAATGCTCAGAACAAACAAAACAACAACAAAAAAAGTATTTTTTTTTAAAAAAGAAACATAGTAAAAAAAAAAGATAAATATGATATTCCTTAAAATGCAAATCCAAGGTTAATTAAGTTGTATAATATGAACAATATTAACTATGATACAAGTATTCTGTATGAAGCAAAGGTACCTTAATGAACAAGAGATGTTTGTATTGTGAAACACATATGACCCCCAATGGCAGTATACATAATGGGCAGTGTACATGGAAATGAAATTTACCTTTCGAACTATAGGTTGAACAAACCTTGGTTGACATATAGACCATTTGAAAAGTTTGACTGTCCTTCTAATTGTAAATAATAGTCAATAACCATATTCAACCAACCTGTTTTTATTGAATTCTTATACCTAAAAGGAAACATGACCTTAACATTCTTATGATAAATCTGTATACCAAAATTTAATTACAGTATGTGCAACCTCTTTGAAGAAAATGATACATGCCCTAAGTTGGAATTTTTCTGAGTCTAAAGGGCATGAATCTGTCAAAAATTGCTCAATAGTACTTAAAACAGAACTTGACCTATATATCCTTATGATAAATCTGTATACTAAATTTCATTTCAGTATGTGCAACCTTTGCGAAGAAAATGAATGAAAACTGAAATATACTTGGAATTTTTCTAAGTCCAAGGGACATAACTCTGTCAAAAATTACTCTTCAACTTTCACATTAGTTAATATCTATGCCCCTAATATACATGTAGTCCAAATTTCTTTAAAAGTATTTTTGATGTTACTGATACCTTTAATGAAAAATACCCTACTAATTTGTGGAGACTATAATCTAGTACAAATTCCTGAATTACATAATCATAATAATAAATAATAATATGTAATGTTCTACTAGATATAATTGAAGAAAAAATTTGACCCTTTGAAAGTCTTGCATAGTGATGTCAAAAATATACATGGCGACACACAATAAATCCTATACAGCAAGGTAGATTAGATTTTTTTCTCTTATCAAGTGATTTGTATCAATATATAAGAAATTGTAACATTGATGCTAGCTATACGTATGATCATTGAATAATATATTTAGATATTTGTTTCATTCATGTGAATCATGGTATGGAAATTTAACAATGCTCTTTTACACGATATTGATTTTTTTAAATAGTATTAACAAGAAAAAAAATGAAGTTAAATTTCAATGTTGTTTAACAGTGTATACTATTGATTATTTTTATATAAAAATATTTTTAAAATTACATAATGTTTGTTATTTTGATGAGTTTTTTTTAAGAAACACTTCTTAATGGAAATAAGAGTAAAAACCATTTTAAAGCTCTTTTAAGGTATAAGAAAAATATTTGAAAAACAGCTAATGGATGAACTTATATTTTTAGAGCAAAATTTGACAAATGAAAGGCTTTTACATTTACAAAATGAGCTAAGTTGAGATCAAACAAAATAAGAGGAGCTATAATTAGGTCAATATATACATCTATATAAAATCTAGATAAAAAACTACTGATCATTTTTTAAGTTTAGAGACATCACATTGCTCAGAAAAAGGTGATACCTTTTACAGAAATAGATTATTGAACATTTACTCATGACAAAAAGAGTATACAAGAAAGAACTTGTTTTTATTATGAAAATTTGTTTCATAATAATGAGATTAATTTGACTGCAGAGTCAATCATTGATAGATAGTTGGTTGAGAAATTGTGTAGTTACTAGGTTGACTTACGACGAATTTCTAAACCTTGAATGTTTTCTCTCAAATGATGAAGTTTTTTAGCATAAAAGAATATGAAAAATGATAAAAGTGCAAGGTGTGATGGGTTTACAAAACAACAATTTTTAAAAAAAAAAGACATTTTCGAACTGCATGAATTGAACATTTTTAGTGACGGTTATAAATTATGCCTTTAATAAAAATACTTTTTCAAGAAGTCAAAAAAAACTGGGAACAATAACATTTATTCAAAAAGAAAACCAACCAAAAAGTTTTTTTTTAATCTACATTCTTCAATGTTAAAGGAACTCCATTAATCTAAAAGCCTAAAGCATAAAATTTTATTTTCTTCCAGATATCAATTGGGACGCTAAGAAAAGAAATGAAAGATATGCAAAATTGGGACGCTTAGAATAGAAATGATCTAGTGCTGTATTTAAGGAAACCTATCCAATGACTTGGTTTTATCAAAATTTACTTTATATGCAGAAATATTGGTTATTAGAATAATACAATGTACTGATGATTAAGGTATAGATTGTGAAGAATATATAACTACGCGATTTCCAGATGATATATATCACTTGTAAAATGGTCCTGAAAAATTAGTACATTATGCTCAAATATTGTTGAATAAATTTTTAGAGAGTTCTTGACTTCAAGTGAATTTTGATAAAACCAAAGTCATTGGATAAGTTTCCTTAAATACAGCACTAGATCATTCAAGACAAAAGGGTCAAATATATCTCTCTGAATGCCTCACTCAGTTTTAACTCCGTATCAGCAAGGCGCTAATCCTGAAATATTTACACTTGTCTTGCCATTTTATTTTCTCCTGCTTTAATGATTTGGGAGAAAAGGGAAAAAACATCATGATATATAATTATATATTTTTAAAACTTAAAGGTAACTTAAGGGTCTGAAAGAGATTGCATGTATTATTTCAGATAATGTCTGATAATGTCAGAAACTATTTTTTTCAGATTTATTTTTTGTTATTCGTTCACCAACATTGTTTCATACCTTAACAACTCTAAGACTCGGACAAAAATTTTAAGGAGGCATGCCTCCAGTTTCACACTAATTTTCATGATAATTTTGAAAAATGGGTCAAAGACAGGAAAGGCCGGGTTGCATTTGTATACCAAATATCACGATGCTGTGATGTTACGAAAAAAATTACCATTGACCATTTATGTCGAAAATTTAACTAAGTCAGAAAACAGGAAGTGGATGAGCAACAGACCTGAAATCGAATCCCAAGGTATGGGACCACGTGTGAATGCCTTATGCCAAATATCAAGAGGCTGTGATAAGTAGTTGCTGAGAAAACTGTTACGCAAATTTCCTACCATTGAGCATTAATGTCGAAAATTTAACTAAGTCAATAAACAGGAAGTGGATAAGCGACAGACTTGAAATCGAATACCACGGTATGGGACCAAGTGTCAATGCCGTGTGCCAAATATCAAGAGGCTGTTATGAGTAGTTGCTGAGAAAACTGTTACAAAAATTTCCTACCATTGACCATTAATGTAAATTTTTTTAACAAAATTGATAAACAAGAAGTGGATGAGCGACCATGTGTCAATGCTGTATGCCAAATATCAAGAGCCTGTGATAAGACGTTGTTGAGAACACTGTTACAAAAAGTTTTTCCCCGACCGCCCACCACCCGCCGCCCGACATTCACCATATTATAACCCGGGTTTGCACCTGTGCAACCCGGCCAAAAAGTATTTAATAGTAAAGTTGTGAAGTGAACAAAGAAAGTAATTTATGCATTGCAAACCATGACTACAATCCAAATGAGGTCAAAATATTCAAAATTGGCCCTAAAATACTGCTTAAGTTACTCAGTAGAAATTTGATGATTAATACTGCAAAATCAGTCATTTATCACTCATAACATGTTAATTATTCTTTGAATCTTGAATCTGTTTACTTTTCTTAAAATCTTATACATTTTGATCAAGTTTGATTTTCTTGAAATATTTTGGCTCATGTTAACCTTGATGACATGGATATTAGGCTGAGATCATGTGATAATTTTTTATAGTTTTCCTTCATACATTCTTATTTGTAACTGATTTTGTATCCGAATAAAAACATATCAAATTCTATGTATACCTGTTTATTAACCCATTACGTTACATACACGCCTTTTAACGCCTTTTTCACCCCCCCCTTTTGTTGTCTCAAATGGTGAAAAAATGCCTTATTTAGGCCCCCAACACTTGTTTTTGTTTGAGAAATGTTGTTAAAAAAGTGACCTCTTTTTCGGCGCGGCCCCCCAACCAAAAGAAAAAAAACAGGGGGTTGCCAGAAGGGGGATGTGCCCCCTTCTGTTTGGGGGGTTTGATGAGGGATGGAGTCCCCCTCATCGCCAAGAAAATTTTGGACTTGTGAGAGGCTATAAATGACCCCAGATTGATCATAAGGTAACGTGTAACCAACACTGAAAAGCATTTGACTCTATCTCAATCTATTGAGAAGTTGCAGCACTTTGAAATCAATTTTGATGGAAAAAATCAACGCAAAATAGTGATTTTTGGCAATTTTGAGATGTCCCCTCGTTGCCATGGTAACAAAAAATTTAAGCCTGAGCATGTTGTTGCAAGGGCAATGATCCAGTAAACATTTGTGCCAAGTTTGATTAGTGTTGAAGCAGTTTTTATAGTATTATAGCAATTTGAACTTGTAACGGGAGACTTTTCAATGAAAACAGCCATTTATTGCAAAATGCTCATGAAGTAATGGGTTAAGCAGTTAACGTATTTATTAGATTAGTACAGTGGACTGAATAATCAACTATACCTTCATTTAAATAGGTAATTTATGGGTAGATTTGTAAATAGTTCCATAAACAGATATCTAAATTACAAGGTGACCTCCCTTTAAAACAAGTTGATTTAAGTAAACCCTTATTGATATATTATGCAACTTACAATCAATTATTGTCACTGGACTATTCATTCTAAAAATTCTTACCTCTTAGATGCTGAAAGAATTCATTTTTACAATATAAGTTTAACAAATTGTGGATTCATCATTTACATTAATTATGGGTATGGCCATATCATATTTACATTTAAAGTCAGACAGACCTGTGGTTATTAGCATTTGATACTAGGAAGTATAAAACTGAATTACTCTTGAGGGAAGGAAGACATATCTGATTTTTATTTTAAATTTCCTTATTCATAAAATTCAACAAAATAATG